AGTAGTATATATATATATATATATATATATATATGTAACCTAGCAACCTACAGCAATATAAAAATTTTTAATGCTACAAAAAGTATTGAAACAAGAAAGTCAAAAGTACAAAAAGTGAGTGAATTAAAATTGAACTAGCTTTTACCATGAATATATGAAAATTTATTATTGACCTGGTATTATAGATAATAACTTGATTTGTTAAAAACAAATGTAATACACTACTGCTAAGAGTTATTTCTAAACAGGACACAGTTTAAACTGTATAATTAAGGAATGTAACAGGACTCCCACCCCATGCACACATACACACACATTGTACAAATGACAAACAATAAAATATTTTAAAACCGCATGTAAGGAAAGTAATGTAAATAATGGAAAAGAGATACAAGTTTTAATATAACAGTATGAAACCAATACTAAATTATAATGCTGATGTTAAATTATTTTGTAGATAAATTTTGTAACCCTGTGCATGTTGAGCAAGGTCTTATTCTATTTAAGTTACTGTTTGATATATTTGTTTTATTATTTGTATCAGAAGATGGCCATATATGTGTGGTTATAACAATGTACTTGATTTTTACCATTAAACATTTGTACCCACTTTAAGCTGATTTATTTAATATTTTAATTTATTTTTATGATAGAACCCTTTCCAGTATTATAGTTTTAAATTTGTACTAAAGCAATATATAAATACAGAAATGCTAATCCCATTAATTCATTTAACAACACTGCATCAGAAAAATTTAGGTTTTTTGTTAAGTCTGATTCTGTTACTAGAAAATAGGTTTGAAGTAAATATTCTTGACTGAACTTGAAAGCAGTTCAGTATGTTGTTCAAGTTGATAAAATGTTTAGTGCATTTTTTTATTTATTGTCTAGTATAAGTTGTTTTACTGAATCAAGTTGAATTTTTTTGTAAATTATGTTATTATGGTTTCTCCTTTCAACTGAAACACTCAAGTCGTGGCTCAGATATCTCATTGCACTTGGTTCTAAATATAACATTGTAGAAACAAACAATTTTAATTATCTTGTGTATTAATATGACCAAAAATAAACTAAAAATGCTTTTATGTCATATTGTAACTCTTAAAATATTTGTAACAATTGCATGTTATAATTTTGATAAAGTGCCTAACACACATCATATTACTGAGTTTTTAGACTTAATGCTATTAATTACCATTATTATAGCCCCAGAACATACTGTTTGATATTGGGAATAACCATAAGGTTAAGATAGGAGACTTGGGATTATCTACAATGTCCTCTGCTACAATTGATACCGACTATCATGATGACATCTCCAGCCATACACCAAATGTAGGGACCTGTCTGTATTGTGCACCTGAACAAAAGAAAGGCTCATCTTATGATTTTAAGGTTAGTAACTATATGATAATCAATTTTTTTTTGTGACTTGTAAGTCAAAAAAAAAAATTCTTTAAAGAAAATATACAAAACTTGTACCCAACTAGGGTTTGGTGGCTACTTTGAGTTGTAGATGCACTACATCTTGGCTGCTCTGTACCACTATATCCCTGAGAAGTAGATGTCTTACACCATAGTTGGTTTACACCACTATCCCTGAGAAGTAGATGTCTTACACCATAGTTGTTTTACACCACTATCCCTGAGAAGTAGATGTCTTACACCATAGTTGTTTTACATCACTATCCCTGAGAAGTAGATGTTTTACATCGTTGTTGTTTTACACCACTATCCCTGAGAAGTAGATGTTTTACATCATTGTTGTTTTACACCACTATCCCTGAGAAGTAGATGTAGTACAATTTTATTTTATTTTATACTATTTATCCTTAAGTAGTGGATGTAGTACAAGGTAGCTGCTTTATACCATTGTATTCCTGATTAGTAAATATTGGATTTAGTACAATGTGGCTGCTTTATGCTTTTATTGGAATTGTGGCAAATGCACATTCTAAATAAAGTATTTAGTAATAAAATGTGTTCCTGATCTATTTATTTAGATGTATTATTAAAGGAATTTTTTTTGTTTATTCAAAATGAAATAATGATATTAAGGCTCAGCCTCAACTTTTCCTGTTAAACTCTTCATGTTTAGCTATATTTCCAACATTATTATTAGATATTAACTTAGATTAGTGAGAGTAGGAATTTATTGTTATTATTTTTAGTAAAGATTAGTTTACTTTATATAAAAACTTCAAGGATGATACATTTATAGTAAAGGATTAAAGTTAAGATGTATTTTTAAACTAAGTATGTATATTTCAGTGACAGTCAATATCATAGTACGAGTCTTTTCTGTGTAAGGTAATAAAATAAAAATTAAAAATGCAGCATATCTATTTAGAAAAAAGAGTATTACAAACTGTGTGTATCACGTGTGAATAAAATATAGACCTAATTATGGACTTTTAAGTTTGAAAATTTTATATGCTTTGTAAACAATACAATATTGCCAAAAGTTTTGCAGTAGCTAAACTGTAAACTTTTTATTAGATTCAATGCTTTTTGCTGTCGTTTTTTTTTCACAAGATAATGCTTTACTGTTGAGCTATCCAAGGATACATGTCATTCTATTTTCACCTGTAAGGCTTTATTATGAGTATTATTATGAACAGGCAGTTAGTGGAGTAACTTTACCACCACCCAACCAAATTGTACAAGTCTAACTAGACTTGCATATAATTTTTTACTAGTATAATTTTTGTTAGCCGAAGGTCCTGTGTTCAAGCTCCCATCCCAGAACCTCTTTCATATAATGGTTTTTTCACATACAAAAAAAAAAAAGAAGATAAGATGGTTTTGTGCATAATCAGGATTACAAATTCATATTTCCACATTTCTGACACTTCTCAGTAGGAATCTTTCACTACTGCAGTGATTAATGGAGGCATACTGGTGGTCAGTGATGTTACCTCCATTGTACACCTCATGGTTGGCTACAATCTGATCTCAGATTCAAGATTCCCAAACTTCTTCTGTTACTCCAGTTGAACCTGCCCCGTCTTTAACCCTTTCCAGACAGGTCACGTGTGAAAGGCCATGTCATCACGTTTGTTGACTTGCATTCAACATTTTATTGAACTACAATTTCATGAATTTATGTCAGTAAGTTTGGTATCAAACTGTAGATTATAATTCAAATTTTAGAACTATACATTACTCAATTTCTAAATATAAAAGTAAATATTAAAAGACAGATTTTTATGTGTCACGTGGTAGGTTGAATGCAACACTGGTTCAAATGAGATGTTTATGATGTGAAAATACAAAGTCTATAGTTTTGTACGAATTAGGAACTCAAATCACCAATATTGACAAGTTAGAATATAAAATAAGAGCCAAAAGTTTGGGAAATAAGTGCGTCCTATATGCCGTCAAATACGGTATATATATATATATATATAAATGTATAGTGCTATGAGATTTATGCTACTTAGTCTAAACATTTATGTTTTTGTGTTATAATTTGTAGTCATTCTAGAACAAAAAAGGCATAATTTATATTTATTTCCTATTTTTTTTAACGTGGTTACAAGATTGGTCAAATTGACCAAACCCGTTCAGAGATTCGTTACTGAAAATAACAAATAAAAT